GTTTGTTTAAGCATGGCTCCAAAGCAACATCAAGGAGTTCATTACTTTTTTGGAATGACCTCCGTATTGGCCGGATCTGAATACGCCCGACTACAGTGTGTGTTTAGTTCTTTAAGCCAAAGCCTGCGCTCACCTATGCATGACTGTGGCGTCTCTGCGACGTGCTCTTCAGAATGCGTGGGAAGAAATCTACGTGGAGCACCTCCGTGCCACCATGGACAGCGTTCCCAAGCGTTTCCGAGCTTGTGTTCGCGTCAAACGAGGAATCTTTGAATTGTAAAGTCAGTTTTGTGTAGCAGACATTTGAGTAAACATCTATTAATTTCATGTAATCATCTTCCTTAGCTTCGTCATTACGATAAAAATACCGTGTTCAAAGACTTTCCCCCAAACTTGTAGTAAGAATACGAAGATTTTGCGTTTCTAGGACAAATGCGGCCAGCGGCGGCTACGGGCTGCTGGCGGCTGCTGTGGGCTGCTACGGGCTGCTAGCGGCGGCTGCTAGCGCGGTATGAGGACACCCTCAGACATTTTTTCGCCCGCCCGCGCACTCATGGCCAGCTGGGAAAACCCGTGCCGGGGCTGGCCTTGCCATGCTAGCACGGGCCAGCAACTGTTCCAGTGTGCGCAGCGAACCTTCACCCGTACGAGCGGGTCAGCCTGTATTTCAATGTCTCATTTTCTTTGTTGGCCCACGCTAGCATGGCAGGGCCACACTGGGGTGTGGGTTTCCGCTCGGCCGCACATGCATGCGCGGGTCACCGCAAATGTAGATACATGTGATATCAAAAATAGTGAAACTTGTTCCCTGCGTTCACAATATCAATCGGACTACACGAGATTATTCGAAACCCCATCAACGGTCAACGCATAAGGAAACCTGTTGTCAGCCCAAAAGGCAAATGTTACTCCCTCTGCAAACTCTGATGGCATCCCTTCACTGCGTCGTATCTAACGCGAGTAACCCTTGCGCGTACAACGTGCGGTAATTTACGTGGATGAACGGCTCGCTGTTAATTTCAGCGTACATCTGTGTGGGTGCGCGGCCACCAGTGAAATTATGAGCCCATACACGCGTACGGGCCACCGTCAGCATGGCCCAACTACGTGCGCGGGTCGCCAGCTCACACCTGTGGGCCGCTGCTGAGCCTCATGCATGTAAGGCTGGTATTTAGGTGCCGCGGCTCAGCGGCGAAGCCCAGTTGGGCGACGGGCCGCTGCAGCAAATGTCTGAATAGATATAGGTCATTGACGACGGATTCGACTGCGGTCTTTGCGCCCACATGAGCATAAAACGCTCATGCAGAAAGGCATCACCCCACCGCTCAACTCAGTCACTTCCAGTGTCGAGATACTACCATACGTAAGCAGGAAAACCATCAGACATGAAAACAAAGAAACGCGATTGCCAGAAGCGCGTGCGTGTTGCACCATGTCACGGTTTTTCGAATGCCCTATACCTATAATAAAGTTGGGACACGAATATAGATCGAGAAGTTGGGTGAAATAAACATCCACCAACACCTGTTAACACTACGTTCAACTAATTTTGATGAATAAGATAGATGAGTACATGAGTACATACCCATTTGTACAGAATGAGATCCGGTATGACGAGCAGTAACTGCTCTAGCTCCCACGTGCGAATGAGCTCACCATTTGGACGCTGCCATTCAACCTGAAACCACTACTCTGTAAATCATGGCAGGGTAATGGCTGTAATATTAACTTCGTAAACCCATTTGTGCCTGATGATACAATCATCCGGATGCAACCTGAGGTTTATCTCATTTCGACGCACGAAGGCGTCTTCAAATCTGCAATAGTTGAACGCTGCAGGCGATGACAGTTTTCCAAAAGATGTTCCTTCGTACCTCATATGATCTGTAATTCGGACAAACATTAGTTCATAAGTAGCCGACCTAGACATCGCGATGAAGCAGAGAGAAATGAACCTTACTGTGATTTGCGAATGAATGAAATATGTGATTGCATGTTGGCAGGATGAGCTTGTCTGAGTGAAAGCAGTTACAAGTCAACAAAGTGACAAGTCATATAAATCAATGATTAATATTGAACAATGGTCGCATTCTTCGGCATTCCAGCGCACAAATCTCTAGAATCAAACTCGAAATACCTTTTTGTTCTTGTTGCGGCCATACTTTCGGCTAGCTTGATTGCGCGAAAGCGGGTTGTCAATACCGTGGAACAAAACAAAATTAAATGGCGATTGGACTCAGAGTGCTATTTGGCAATACACTGACTACACGTTCAGTGTCTACTCAGACAATTATTGCGACCATTCGCGCAAGCGCGCCGGCCGACATTTCATCCATGCTGCGGGTGTTAGAATAAACACGCGCCAAGCTCCCGGTACCCAAACGAAACCCGCGGATATATGCAAAATTCTAAGAGATCTAGCCCCCAATCCGCGCGCAGTTCAGCCAATTCGGGTGGAGGACTATGTCGCCGAATGTGGAAGAGTCCAAGGATTTCCTGCAGGAACGCATATCCGCGCATATACAAGGATGCGTATTTGGGCAGCATGCACTAAACTCCCCGCTGGGGAGGGGATCGCAGCTTAAAAGAAAGCTTTATGATTCGAAACTCCAGGTACCTGATTTTACATTGTGTACCTATCCGTAAGTATTCCTACTACCCTTCACTATGAACATGTTGAACAGGAGCGAGAAGCTGTACGAACCGCATTTTCCACCTTTTGTATGATCCCTGATGATCCCTGGCGCTTTTCTTTAAAGTCATTTTTCTTCTCCGAAGTTAACGAAAACCTTCCAAAGTTGTACTGAACATCTAACACAACAGTGCTAAGCATGTTGCTCATGAGAACGAATGAGTTTTTGAAAAGTCGAATTTTTCGGTAAACCTCAAATTTCGACCTATGGATCATCGAAAATTTCATGACTCCGATACTTCACTTTCTTATCAGCAACATGCTAAGCAGTGTTGGGTTAGATAATCTGCACAACTTTGGAAACTTTTCGTTAACTTTGGAGAAAGAAAAATGACTTTAAAAAAAAAGCGCCGGGGATCATCAGGGATCATACTAAAGCTGGAAAATGCGGTTCGTACAGCTTCTCCCTCCTCTTCAACATGTTCATAGTGAAGGGTAGTAGGAATACTTACGGATAGGTACAAAACGTGAAATCCAGGTTTCTGTAGTTCCGAAATATAAAGCTTTCTTTTAAGCTGCGATCCCCTCCCCGTGGGGATGTTAGTGCATGCGGCCCTTTGTCGCAAATGACCGCGGGGGCCGCCCTTTTTCGGCGACATATAGTCCTCTACCCAGCCAAGTCAGATCCATGCCTACATTGATGCCACAAACGAGGAACTGCTCGGCTGGTAATTTATTTTCGATGTTTTTGCCGTACCGTAATTATGCGATCATCAAGGACTTCATTGCAGAGATGAACTGCTGGAGTAGTTTTACGCCCGCAATTGCATCCTCGAATACATCGCGTAAGTTTTTATTTGCGATGAACCTTTTCAAGTACTTCGAATATGATTCTATATTGCTGACTTTTGTAAACTTTTTCGAGATGCAAAGATTGGCTCTAAATTATTCTTCGATTTAAGGCCTGTATGTAAAATCGCAACCTAAGTTGTCAAAGCCAGGATTGGTACGAGGATGGCAAATGGACAACTCAGGGGAAGGGAGAGTTGAAACAAATATGTAAACGGTAGGTGTACAGTAGATCTATGAAAGTATGAAAAACGCATTTGAACTGAAAGTATCGCCTCAGGTGGCATTAGCGTCCTAAATGCCACCTAATTTTGAAGACATTTCTCCATATAATCCACACTGTTCTTTAGTCCCACTGCGCAGATACAGATCAAATTTTGCGTCATACCTTTACCTTTGTTTGCAAACAAGCTTTTTTCACCCAGTAGTAAGAAATTTTTAGAAGAATGCTCGCCACACCATGCGACCACATGACTTTCCAAAGTATTTTTTACTCTGTTTTCAATAGTCTCTCTATGCGCCAGTCTGATTCCATATCCTTACTGTGCGCTGCAAACGAACTAATTTTTCACAAGTCGGTAGTAGTGAACTTCGAAAAAATTGGCCACAATCCTTATTTAGGAAATTTTTACGAAATTTTTCGTAATTCATCCTATCACTCCCCATAATTGTATCTAACTGGCCTGAGGCTCCCATTTGGATTACGTACAATTTCTCTGACGATTTCCCCGCAAAAGATCTCGGGAAGAGTTTTAGAAGCAAGATGCTTTTTTTTTTCAATGTGTTACAAACAGTCAAATTTTTCCTCTGTTCTCAGTATGCAGCTCGGTTAATAATCTTAATATGCAGCGTCCCCTACCTGGCTTACTCAAACGCAAAATGGTGCAATACCTTGGGCAAGAGCTTTATCAGGGCGGGAGCCCCTGTACGCCACAATTTCGTGTCTCCCTGGACGCTGCGGGGGAGGGGAGGGGGGGGGATCTGAATTCTGGGTCTATAGGTCCGCTAAAATTTTGGAAGGCATCCGAAAATTTTGCTTAAAGCGCGGCCTACGCCCACTCGTTCGGAAAATTCTTTGCAGTCTTACTTACACGCCCCTCCTCAAATCTCGGACCGCCACCAGGGCCCGGCACGAGTCCGTTTCTAGGCTTTTTGAAAACGAAGGTCCCCTTGACTTTCGCAAAATTTTACGAAGTCCCCTTAGACCATTTTCGGAAACGTCGACTAGAAAACCTAATCCAATTTGTGTTTTTTGGAACCCACAATATATCCCCGTCTCTTTTTCGCCCCAAAAACGAAATCCAGCCTGTCTCCAGAAGATCCATTCCGGGCCCTGGCCGCCACTGGCCTCGATGTGTGCATCACTAAAAATACATGAGTTCGAGATCGTCCGAACTTCCCTGAGGCATTAGGCCAGTCTTCGATATTGCTGTCTATGCTTGTCCACTCTGACTTCACAGCCAAGACCTTGTGGAAAGTCACTCATGCTTGCCATCTCATGGCTTGATGTTCAGAAATTCAAGTTTTCGAGTTTTATTCCCATAGGCTGAGAGTAAACACTATCTTCAAGGAGATCGAAATGATTTATTACCTTGTTGAGAATGGGTTATATCATAAAGTTTATATCCGAAGCATCGAGATCTATGGGAATATACAGCTTATGTAAGATACCATAGTGAATCAACAACATCCAAAACGTTTCTTGTTCTGTTGCCGCGTGTTATTTTCCAACCGTACATGACCTTCTAGGCTAGCAAATGGCACATCGTACTGACCATTCATCTCATTCGCTAAGATCTGAAATTTATAAAGTATGAATGAAAAATCAAGTTAAATTTTTCATTTTCTATCACGTAAAGTCTATTTCGCGACGGAAGTGTTTGCCCGAGCGAGGTAAGCGAGCGCTAGTGCAGCGTGGTACATCGTTTCATACTCGCACCAGTGATGGTGCAACGGCCGCGTTCGCGCCTGCTTCGCAAGCTCACTCACCTGCCCTCGTCCGAAATTAGACCTCATAGTTTTAGTTTTGGCAGAAACCCACCTTTTTCATAACCGTATTGAGAGCTTCTTCAATTCCATAATTCTCTTTAGCCGAAGCTTTGATCACTTCAATAAATCCATTCTGTTCCTTGAAATCTTTGATTTCGCTGTCCTTTATAGTCACGTCCAGGTCACACTTAACAAACACATTCAGTGTGAAACTAAGAATAAGCGCTAAACGAATGGACAGTAAAAGTTAATTGAAGGAAGTATGACTGTGAAAGGAGAAACCTTCTATTTCTCGCAACTAAAATGTTGTAAGGAGCAATCATCTTTTTGAGTATAAAAATCGCTTTACTCTAATAACGAACCAAAGCGTGTTGCGTGGCGGCGTTCACCGTTTACCGTGGAGCGCATTATCTCACATCAGACAAATGTGCGAGAGCATACGCGCAACGACATGCTTGTTTTGCTCGCATTGAATATAAGCAGCCTTATACATGTGAAAGTAGGGTAAAGTATAAATTGAATGATTATTTGAAAAGGTCTTTACCTTGTTAATGACGAGAACAGCCGGTATTTGGCCTCCGTCTTGTAGCACCACTTTTTGATCCAAATCATTTTTCCACCTTACTGCACCTTCCTTTGTTCGCTCTCTGTAAATACATAAAAATAAATGGAAATACTTAGACAACACACGGAACATGGATAGATAAAGTGTTCGTGTTCTGTCGCATATTGAATAACTGTGCCATGGTGTGCTATCAAATTTCCCAAACGTTCCCATAAAAAGACGATTATGCCATCGAAAGGTCTCATTTTCAATGTTCAGGAATGGATAGATTGTGTTGTGAAATCGACCAATTTCTAGAGGAGAGCTGTTTGACCCGTTTGAGATTCAGTTCATCAATCATTTTCTCAGATCAATGCCTATTCTAGAAGCATACAATGCTTATTTAACATTTTCCCTAGATGAAATTTCATTTTTAAGCAATTATTTGTCAGCGCGCAAAGGATGTTTTGTAATATCTTCAACATAGAATGAATCAGAGAAAATGCCATTTGCTTCCTGCACTGCTTCAAAAACATTTTTTTGCAAAAGCAGGCTATCAGATTTCAAAATCATTCAGACAAATCTTTTACCCTTTTCTCAATTTTTAAATTTCTCAGTACTAGAATATAATTCGATGTTTGAAAGTTTTTCACGCAGACAGCTCCGAAAGCAATGTAAAGGAAAAAAGCTGGAAATCCTATTAGCGCAAATTCTGCAGTAAATTTCCAGTTTTGTTTTTCGTCGAGTTGTACTCGTTGTTTGAAAAGTTAAGCTTAGTAAGCTGATTCGAGAATGTCAACACTTTGTGTGCTCGAAAACTGAGTCGGATGTTGTTCTCGTTTTTCAGCGTTTTCAAAAAACGTTTTCGACAATTCTACCAATCGAGATTACAAAAAGTAATGCGTAAAAATTTTTTTCAAAAACCATATCCAGGGAATCTTAACTCGCATTATAAAAATAAAAAAGTAACCAGGAACTATTCGAATTCAGTAGCAATGTATCGAAGCAAATACTCTTTTAGAAAACACCAATAAACACGAGACAATCTTTTCCTAGAAGTGTTTGTGCAAGGATTTGTGCGCAAGCAATGAAGGAAAAAACTGGTTAATATGGGAGAGACAACACTAATGCAACTAACAATTCGACATGAAATTTGAGATCGTTGGCGTAAATAATCGCTTTTATCTGGATTATATTCGCTTACGTTGCTGTACGAACGAGTTTTCTGATTCTATCAAGGTTTTAAGCTTTAATGATTTGAGCCCTTTTTTTCATATATATGTTGAGGTCATGAAAGTGCGAAGAAATGTTAGCAGTTTGGAAAGAGGATCAATTTAAAATCTATCATTACACCTTATAGAAAAGTTGCCAAAATTTTAGGATTAAATTTTATAATATAGCTACAAAATTTTATAATTTAAAATTCCAAAATTTCAGGATAGCAGCCTAAATGGCTTGTTTGAAAGTGTCAGAGTTTAAAAGCTATGTTTATTCAATTTTGTATATGCTAACTAGTTGAACTGGAACCAAAAGCTCTAAGACTATGTTTATTATGTCAGAAGCTTACCGTCAGTCAATGAGCACAAACATGAAATCGACTGCCGTCGATAACAAATTCGCGCTTTATCGACGTAGGACGAGTATTGTCAAAATTTCGCACCTAGGCTTTGACAATGTCTGCTTGGTCCGTGGTCTTTTTCAATTTATTGTGGCATTTTTTTATTGGCACAAAGCTGCTCTTTTTGAGTTTTCTTCAATGCTTGCGCAAATGTTGCTTTACGAACTTTTACCGCGTCTGTTACATTGTAAAAGTTGACTCAAATCTTCAAAGATATATAAATCAGTCATTATTTCGTGCTCTTATGGTGCAAATGCACGCAACACACATAGTGTGCCTAACTTCCTGGATCATGAAAACACTTTTTTCAAGTAGATGCATTAGCTTCTTTTCATCTGTTGGCATTTCCTAATAGTCTCCAAAGCAATACCAGAGACAACCAGGATGTTACGCACAATATGAATTGTGTGTGCGTTCGCACACAGTGTATGTAAAGCATATGATTCCTTGAGCACCGTGGTTTCAAATGATCTGACCCTGCATTCTCAAGAGTTTCGGAATTTGAATAATCTCACTACTTTCACAATATATTCTAGAACAAAGCTCTTAGTCAGCAGTTCGCTTTCCATTCTAGCAAATCATCGCGCAAAAATGAACATACGCATATTTTCGTGGAAATCTTTGTTCTTACCGCAAAATGACGTGAGTTTTTCGGTCAACATTTGGTTGCAATTTTTTCCATCGCAAAATCTCTGGAGAATTTGCGCACGTGTATGTTATGAGTACAACTACAAAGTAAACATCTGTATCTTCAATAGTGCATTGCTAAAGAGGTGCACCGCCCCGACGCGCACTCCTACTCCTATGTAGTGACGCAAGTTTTTGAGCAAGAACACCGGCATATATCAGGTTACTCTTAAGCTTTCTAAGGTCATTCCCTTCATTCAGTCTCTTTTATAGGTCATGAATAATACATCAGGCTTGGAATCGATTTTGCTCACGTCTTAGTACATTTACATGATAATTTTCTGCAAATTTATCCTTATTTCGCCAGCGATAGAGCGTAAATTGATCATATTTTGTTCTTTCGATATGACGATTATCTTGGATATTTCTTCTAAACAAGTCTAATCTCTTTTCAAAAATTCCACACTAAAAGCACGTAAAGCTTCGTACAGTCGAGCAGGCTTACTTGCTAATGGTGCAATTGCACACCTCACAATGTGTGGGCAACTTGCTCAGGCTTCCACCAGAGTATGAATTGCAAAAAACGCAGAAATGTAATAAACATTGACAATTTCTTCCGAACTTTGGTTGAACGAGGATAAGAATGAAGAGCACCAAATTACCAAACCCGGGCCCTATGGCCAACGCAAAACATGTGCAATTGCACACAAGCAAGTAACCTACGGCGGTTCCAAGAAATGCATAAAATTCGAATAATGAAACTTTTCTGCATTTCTTATCTTGCTTACCTTTCTCACTCTCCATTGCTACGGAAACTTCGCTTCTCAAATTACAAGGGCGTTAGTCCAAATGTGAAAAATACGCAATAGCTACTTGAGTGTTCCTTCTATTTTTTAGAAGTTTCAATAGCAATTACAAAATTATTTTTGCCACTGATTAATGATACTTAACTATCAACAACTTTTTGGTAACATTTGCCCTCTTTATCTCATATTGATCAAATTTATTCCGCACAGACAATGGGATGAGTACCGTAACCCTTGACTTTTTCTTCCGCTACAGAGTTGCAGCAAAGAGTGTGTTACAAGCTGACTCTTCAAGTTTGAGTAGTCTGGATTACGAAAGTTTCGTATGCTTAGTCACTGTTGCTTTCATTATGCTAGCTGATGGGATTTTATATCTCCGTGCCTGGGAAATGTTTCGTCGTAGAGGAAATTTCTACTGATTTTTCCCTTCTCATTTGATATGAATCAAAAATCTATTGTTGCGATTTTGATCCTGAATTCTCCGTCCATGAATCATCAAATAAATATTTTGGCACCGGACCAAAGAAAGTAAGCGATAGCGACGTCGCATACCTTGTGCCATCGACAACAACAACGGCACCGTGTGCATCCTTGTAATAGACTCTGTTCATCACTCCATATCGATCTTGTCCTGAAAAAAAAAGTCTTGGAAATTCTCTTTTGTTATGAAAAGCCTTATCCCTTAAGTGGGTACTCGACTGTAAGAGTACTGTGTTAATACTGTGCTCTGTGGCTGCAAGCGTGCGCGATTGCGCGTGTGGTTCTTCAGTACTGCGCGTGTTCGTCAACGAATGTTTGCAGAGAAAACTTGGTGGAGGCAGGCATCATTGGGTGAACGGACACAAACACTGGTCTGGATCCCTCGAGAAATTCCGTAGACTCTGCCCTCGCACACCTGTTTACGCTATATCACGCTCTCCATAAACAATTTCTTTTCCCGCGCATGCCATTTGATAGAAACGCTTCCGGACATTCTTACGCGGTTCTTCAGAGAACTTACTCAATTAGCTCCCACTGTACCCCCTATTCTGCTGCAACTCGCTGGCAAAGTGCACAAAGTGCCTATCATACAGAGAGTGCATCAAAAATCAGTACATATCGCTTTTCACAACTTTTCGCCCGAAACGCGCTAGCACAGTGCCCTCGTAAATATGCACGAGCTGCGACCGAGTCGAGGATAGAATTCAAGTTCACCACCACCCCATCGAAAAGAGGATTATTAGCGAACTATCCTTCACAAATTTCCGACGATCAAGGTCAACATGCCTTGCCTCGAATGTGGACATGTTTGTACTGAATAATGCAAAACAAGTTATTGTCCTTTCATGTGAATTTTTCATATGTAATGAACCTCTTCCGTCACTTATTTCATAACCAGTTCGGGCATATTCGCCACAATTACCAGAACATTCCGAGCCACATACTCAGAATTTTCTGCTCTTCACGTCTAGCACGTCTCAAGCGTTTCTTATTCATTACTCATCTACCGTGTACTACCTACTTTTACATTTCTACATCTTAGCCCGAGCATCGGAGCGCTGCAGTGGATACTCGGATGAGCGCTCGCACAGCATATGTGTGCCAAATACAGGTTCGATTTATAATTATATCGGTCATGGGGTTTTGGGTAGTTTATATGTAAAATTGAGTGAAAGTAGTAAAAGGCATTAGCTTTGAATAATATCATGAATGTCTTCATTATCAAAAGAGTTGGTGAAAAAGACAAAAATACTATGACTCAGCTCGAGAGAATTTTGAGACTTTTCGATAAGGCTAATGAAATCAATGATTATGATTTGGGAAAATTTTCGGTTTAGTTTCTTGTATTATAGGTTAAAACAAAAGAGATTCCATTACGCACTTAGAATTTCATTGAGACTTATTAAGAGCCTGACTAATGTAAGGTTGAAATTATTTTCTTGTCAGAATCAAGACGAAAATTCATGGAATGAGGCTGAACCAGTAAATTTATTAAAAAGCTTTTTGTCACATGAAGTTAACGAACAATCACTTCTTTGTCTGGTAAAGTTCGGATCCAGATTTGACCAAATCTTTCTATAGGAGCTTCTCCTCTTCCATAATTCCATACTTTTTTCCTGCATGACTCAGAGTCCCAAGAAAAAACGATCACCTCCTCAAATCCGTTCTTTAATACCTCATACTCGAATATGACCCGGTCCATTCATTGCACAAGTCAACTGCAGAACTAGTTCGAGTGTATAGAATCAACCAAATGTTTCTTTTGCGTTTACTTTACAGCCACACAGGCAGCGGCTGTAAGCACTTGGACTTTTGTATTGACTCCGAGGGAGAAAATCTTAGCAAGGTAGAAAACATTTAGACAATTACATTCCAGTAGATGCGAACATAGGATTAATTATTGTCTGTAAACAAAAATAAATTGGGGAGTATACAAGGTGCGCTGCAATGCATCCAAAAAAACTTGCACTTTTATAATCATCTCAATTGAATTTTATAGTGCATTTTATAAATTTACCATAGAAAGAAACCCAGTTTCTATTGGCATTTGAACTTTCATTCTGAATCTATCACATGTTTCTATGCAAACATTTTACGCATAGTATCAGTGTCTCATATTTGCTCCAGGTTACCTACGATTCGGTCGCTAACACTGTTTGCTGATTTTTCTCTCAGTTTCTGTGCAAGAAAAATTATTTTCGATTTTATCCGTGCTTATATCAAATCACCTCCTTGCAACCCACTTCACTTCGGCATATGACAGCAAATACACAGAGACGCGCTGCTTGCGCGGCAATCCGGAAAGGAAGGGGAAGTCGTTGAAGACCGGATATTTGCTTTTGATCTAGAGCACATTTGCTATGCTTTCGGTATAGTTCTTTATTCTTTTGATAGCTTTGACAATTACAAATAAGTCTGGGAAGATAGTCATGCTACTTAATATAAACTTGTTAACTCTTTACTTATGCGTCAAGCAGTTGGTTATTCATAGTATGATGGGTTACCGCATAATGTTTTGCGAGAAACGGGAAAAACTTTGCAAAATGATATATGCAGTTTTGATGACATGGGAGAGAACTGTAAAGCTTTTCAGTAATTTCCTATTAGTACACATTTAAGTTGTACGACAATGGAAAAGTTCCGCACAGATTTTTTGAAATAAATTTTTTTATAAGTCGAAAAATTCACATTGATGATGATGGACACGACACAAGAAGAAATAAATTTAGATTGAGAAGTAAGAAATAAAAATAAGAATAAATTAAGAAATTAAATTAAATCAAGAAATAATTAAATAAATAATACAGTAAATAATAATAGTAGATGAAGAAATAAGTTGTTCCGTTGTTTTTGCTATATTAGATTGCATGAAATTATGTTTGTTTTTGAAACTTCTACTCTGTTTCTTTTGATTGGGACCATAAAAAACAGACAAACAGACAAAAAACAAGACATAACATGAACACTTGCAGTAAGTTGCGTTAAATCTCGAGCTAATTCTTTCTCACATGATTATTCAGAAAGAAAAGCTAACAAGGAAGGAAAGTCAGTCGAAGCAGCTCTTCGATAGGGGACGCATTGCTTTGAAGGCTATGAAACGCTAATTCCAAATCTATCTTTCTTATCTACTGCGGGTTTCTGTGCGATGAATTATGAAGGTTTTCATGAGCAAAAATTTGAATGTGCAACTAGAATAAAATCAGTCTTAGCATTTTTACTAGGGCTTGAAATGACTTTCGGGTTACGCTGTGCACTGAATATTTTTATTTCAAAATATTTAATTAGAACGCTAGGAAAAGTCAACGACTATTTTTAAACTGATCACGCACTAAGATTTTTGTCATAAAAACTTCATAACTCCTTACTCAGGAACCCGCAATAAACCGAAAAAAAAAACCGAATAAGAAAGGTGGATTTAAAATCAACGTTTCATGCCCTACAAGGCTTAGTGTACATCTCATGTTGAATGGCTACTTCGACTAACCTTCCTTCCCTTGTATGATTAACCAAATGCAAAGCGAAATTTTTGATAAAAAGATACTTTTTGTACTCATGCAGTTTATTTCATCTTGTTCTAAAAAAAGATACTCTTTTCTCAAAGTTTTGATGCCGAGACGATGTAGAGAGGTTTTGCTTTCTGCTTCTGTGTTCGACTTTAAGGAGTCTCTATATGTGGACATTGGCACCTAAGATTTCTGTAGGCGAAGGGATCGTAGCCATATTGAGAGATGAGGTTTTGATTTTTCAATGACCAAAAATTGGCAAGGTTACATGGATAAAATAAAACAGTTTTAAATTTGGCTATCCCAGGCGGATACTTTGAAAAAGTATAAAACGGCTTTTAACTTATTTTGAAAATCTAGGGCTGTAACATAGTCCTGGTGATTCTCGGGCTAGCGGCTGCAGGTCTCGCTGGAAGTCAGTTCTCAAATGTTCGGATTTATAACTATAGGTATTACCTTTTCTCTAGGTACTACTATACCTAAGTTGCTAATTTGATTCATTGAAGGAATATCGACCTCCGTCTGCTCAATTGGATCCATGCCTTAACAGGGGCAGTCGGTCAGTTTTTTTTGCATAATTAGAAAATAAATAAGTAAATATAAATTCTAGGCATTTACGCCGTTGCTACGAATCATGGAGCTGTTGCAGCTAAAACGCTCTATTGTATTTCCTTTGTAATAGGATTTGCTACAGCAGTATTTTACGGTTTTACAACTTATAGGGTAAGTTATATGGTATCCATACTGTACATAAAGGCTGCTGCATGACGAAAGCGCAGGAGCAGTATTAGCTGAGCGAACGCGAATGCGGCGCGCGTATCCTCACCGTTGTAAATCCTGCGCCTCATGCGCTCTGCGGCTAATAAAGCCGCGTTCGCGCCCAAAGTTATCGCGTCTTCGTCATGCAGCAGCGTACAACTGCCAAGATCTGTGATTCCCAAGACTAGTATTTAGATAGTCGAGGACCATAATGCACTCACACAATTCGAGACTAGCACACCAGCATTTACAACCGGTCTGCCTTATGGCAATGACTACTTTCCAGAACGAATCGTTATCTCTGCTCTGATGATTGGTAAGCTAGCAAAAAAAAACCGCCAAAGCAAACGAGGATTGAGATTAAAAATGAAAAATCAAATTTCTTTTTTTTTTGCAGCAGACGGAGCCCTTGCAGCACTGGCTGCCCTTATCTGTATATTTCTGATCAAAAAACTAGTCACCCTTTCGGTTCCGATCTATCCAGTTCAACTGGTGGGTTATTTCTACTTGAAAGAAAGAATAGCAAAATGAATAGAATTTTAGTCTGATAGGCCACGTTCCTCCACTCAGACCTCCCACAAAGCACTCGGTTCCATAGCCCTTATTAAATTTTTTCTGGGACTGGGTACACTTGGTCTTGCTGCATTCGTCGAATATGAGCATGAAAAGGTAACCACCTTTACTAAAAAATTTTCGAATCATTTATAATATATTCAGTGATTGTCACACTTCCTCGTTCCTCAATAACAAACAATCAGATTTTGTTTTCTTCAAAAAATTAGGTTATGCGTGACTCACACAATATTCAATTCTTTTTTTCTTCCTTAGAAGTTAGTTGTCTTGCCACATCTTCCTTTATGACATTCGTTTGGATGTGACTCATAATTCTTACTCCAGCCTAGATGACCAGTTACCAAAAGGGAAGAAAAAAATTATCTTAAAGACGTTCACATTTTGCTCTCTTTCTTCTTCTTCTTTTATCTTGAAGGCTCGTGTTACTCTTTTTCGTAGCTGAACCAGTCCAACTTATTTTTTGTCCTCACTGCTTTTTTTTCGAAGAAAAAAAAGCGTCGGTGACTTGCACTATGTTGGTGCTTGGTCATGTCCGAAAAGTGAGGAATCTCGAAAGAAGTGAAATCATGATTGCCAGTATTCATTTCAAAGTGAACTAGTAGGATACTATTATATAATGTAAACATTTACTTCTCAAAATTAAATTGAATCATACCGTATAAATATGCATCAACCCCAGTATTTCTTCTTTGATGGAATTCATTGAGAGGTTCACTAGAAATTTTGATGAGGACCTATGTAAACGAGGAAGCGCAGCCAGAGAAGAACTGATAAAAAGTGTACAAACTGAGTCATTAAAGAAATAGAACTGAAGTACCTCTTGTTTTTGAAGAGATCTGATGACTCAGAGCACGAGGACATTTTGATCACTTCAGGTTAGTGGTGCTGACAAATATATCAAGATTGCATTGGAACATATTGCGGCTATGCTGGTTGTCATGAGCAGTATAATGGATTTCTTGGCCAGTAGAGGCAGAAGAACCGAGCAGATTAATTTGCTGGTAAGAATTTGAGAAAGAGTCCAAAACTAGGTACAAGTTAGAGTTTGAATTGAGTAGCTGCTTAAGCTGCACCTTATAACATTCAATCTCGATCGAAAAATTTGGCTTCAAACTTTCGTCCAGTACCGTACTCTTTCCGAGCAAAACACCGATCGATTACGGTACTGGGTGAGGACCAAATATGAACATTTAGATCGGGAATGAAGCATATGAGCTGCCACTCAAAAGGCTCAGCTAGATTGACACTAGAAAAACTTTGAATTCAGATTCGCCTATACACTCACTTCCTTCAAGAAATAGGAAAGGAGTATGGTAACACAAAGAGAAATAAGCTTAGAAGTTTAGGTTTCACTTGCGTTGGCCATTGTAGCTGCTGTATGGTGCATTAAAACTGTCGATCACAATATGATGCCATTTTACAAAAATGATCTGAAGTACTTCTATCAGGAACGAGCTCAAGGGGGTTAGCATTTTTTATCAAAGTTTCAAAATTAGCTTTTTACTACAGTTATTTATTTGCAGTGATGTCACTTACCTCAGATCGCCGCATTATTGTTATAGCACATGGTGTTCTTATTGGATGTTTTGGTAAGCATAATAAGCTTATTTTTAAGAAATAATCTATGAATTTCTTAGGAATTCTTTTCTTTCTTTGTGCTCTATCATCTGTCATTGTCGGAGCATATCTACGAATGGAATATCTAACGAGTCTTCGAATAGACAAGGGCACAGCAATTCAAAACAGGTATATACCATAGAAAACAAGCGAATTATTGACTTATCTAGTATTTATCAGTATTGAAAGTCCATTGTGGGAAATATAGGAAATACTAAAACTGGAACTTCTGTTTTTTTTTCGTGAGAAAAGACTTTGTCCTAGAGTGCAAACATGATTATAGTTTTTTGAGCTGTCAAAATCGCATTAAAATATTGGGAACTCAAAAAACTAGAACAGCCTTTATGACTCATTAATCCGCACAATGTAAATTGGAACCGGAATAGATAGTTGCAAAGTACAAAGATACTGGGTGGAGTACGTCTGGGATTCCTAACTAACATGAACGCTCAAGAAAAAGGAATGAGAATTTTGGCAAATCAGATAAAAGATTGTGGGCTCAAACAAACTGAAACGTAGAGGAATTTAAATTGCGCGTAAGTAATTAAATTCTTCCTTCATTTACTTCAACATTAGTGGTCGTCAGTGAATCTGAATGAGAAGAAAATTATCGCTATTGCTTCAAACACTATTTCTTTTGCAAATAAATCATTTTCTTGTATGATTACGCTAAGTAGGCATTTATAAGCGCGACATGTTTACTTCAGAAGCGAACACACGTGGGCGTGCCGCTGCGCATATGCTTTGGCGCAGCGGTCGCTCTCTCGCGCAATTCTCTTAAATAGAGCGCCGAGTGGCAAAAAAAATCCGTGCGAGTAGTGTGACAGCACATATAGGATAGTCAATAAAGCAGCAAAAAGCTCAAATTTCAGATTGCTATCGTTGCTACATTTACTATGGGGAGCCGCGTTGTTCGCACTCTGCGTTCTTGGCCTCATTGATGTACAATGGAGAGGAGAGTTCTTGGGTGCAGATCTACTATGGACGTCGATACTTTTCATAACAACTGGACTACTGAGCAGTAACAGCTACAGGTGCATTGTGGAGATCGAAAGAACATATTACAGCAATCGGTTTAGGACACTTGTCAACACACGGCTCGCAATGAACGTTGTCTGCTTGGGAATAGCAGTGGAAAAGATGTGTGCTTCCATAAACCTAATATATCAATTTTCTTCCTATGAGATTTACGTGTTAGGGGATAATCGCACATTCATCGGACAAATTGTGCTAATCTCCGTTCAGACATTCGTAAGATTTTGAATTTTACAGCATCCAGAGCTGCCCTTCTGCCGGGCTATGCCATTTGCACCGCACCGACGCCGCGCAGAAACTACAGGCGCACCTTATTGATTGATCGAGTTTCGGCATTGCACTGGCACAGCGTCGGCACGGCGCTGACTCGGGCAACTCTGGACGCAGTCTCAAATTTATAATGAATTGAAATGTCTAGCTTGATAATTTGAACGCTTAGGTTTACGCAGCCGAGGCCTTAACAGCTCTCGCCTCGTCCTTCATTTTTGGCAGAGAGGTGAATCGAGAGCAGACCTTCACCAATCATATTTCTAGTGGTGGGTTACTGAAGCAGAATTTTCACTCACTATAAAAAAACCTTTAGAATTTCCTGTGCTGCTTTCGGTGGGTACTCTGTTTTACGCTGTCGTCATCACTGGCTGCTACGTTGTTTTCGAGCTGGGAAAATGGAGATACAATGAGGTGACGGATGTTTTGCTGCATGATATCTTAGCTAAGAAATTTTTTTATTACAATACCACCCGTAATTTGTGAAAAAAAATGGCGGCGGCACTTAACTTACGCGGCGCCGCCATTTTTTTTCACAAATTACGGGTGGTATTGTAGGTGCCCATTGATGTACCGTTCTTTCGACTTGGAAATGGACCCCTCGCTCTCGCCGCTGTTATCATACAGGTCAGCGTACTCTTCTTCAGAAGCACTATCCAGATTTCAAAAATCGTGCCGAGAAGCACCCCAGCCAATGGCAGCGGTCTGAGAAAGTAGATGCGCTGCTGCCATTGGCTACTGCGCCTCTGAAGCGCTTCTAGATTTTCCTCCGAGTTAAAACTTATTGTTAGTTGGGAGCTATTTACTGTGCTAGAGTACTTGCTACAGAAAATATTATTATGTGTAAACCATTAAAGCTTGATTAACTGAGTTAGCTTACAAGGGAAGGATACTTGGTCGAAGTGGCGTTTCCATATGAAATGCACACTATTTTATAGAGCATGCAACGCTGATTCTAAATCTGTCTTCGTTATCTGCCGAGCGCCTCTGGACGCCGAGTTATGAGCGTTCCTTTGGTTGAAAAATTTAATGCGTAATTAGAGCAAAATTCGTCAGAATTGCTCAAATGGTCCGAAGTTGGTTATCAGAGCACTCCATTACAAAGGATACCTTCTGTCCAAAACACTCATACTACATGTTGCTCTATTTAGGCGCTGAAAAGTCCGTAATAGTTAATTTTACTTGAATTCTGAGTTCATTTTTCGCTCCAAAAAAATTTTATAACTCGACGTCCAGAAGCGCTCGGCAGATAATGAAGGCAGATTCGGAATCAGCGTTCAACGCTCTTCAAAATGGTATATGACCCATTTGGAAAGGCCACTTCGACTGATTCGACCTCCCTTGTTAGCCCAAAATTGTATCTACTTAAGCGTTGATCTTCAATTATCTCGGACACCTTCAATCCTACTTTCCAAATAATTATTTTAGCTGTGCTGCATCTGCTATCCACGTCTGATCACAGTATCTGTGATTCTGCAGATTATAGTGGCAGCATTGGCGCTATTTACACTTTCTCCAGCTATGACAGTACTCTGCGTTGATACCACTGCTT